ATAATTATTGTAAACAAAGTGACGAGTAAATTACTGTACATTTTAACGCCGTATACTTTAATATAAATATTAAATAGTCAGTATAACATTGTAAAACAAGCTTAATACAAACAATATGCACTGAATATTATCAGAATAATTCTCAATATTGTTTCATGAAAGAGAAGCGATATATAAATGCTTGTCCCTAGGTTTCGGTTTGCGAATTTGTTCAGTCTTTTCTTAGCCTAGAAGTCAGACAAGCCCAGGACACAATAAAGCATGCAAGCTTTTAGTATTCGTCTTTATATGAATACTATATTATTTTACAGTAAAAAGTCAACAAGGATACAAAATACATGGCACTTTTATCTCTACATTGCCGCAATTCCGAAGCTTTGCGTTGCTCGGTTTTACAAACGGGAAGTGTAGTTTATATATGGAAGCTTGTCAACAGGGCTCTCAGAACGGAATTCCAAATTTTCCTTAGACTCAGCGGTAAAAATTCCTTAAATCGACAAAAATTTCCTTAGACCATAGTTTCCGAGGAACACTCCAGTGGCGCGCGATCATAGGCACAATTGGCGCGAAAATATGTAAATAACTTTTTTACATCAGAAAATGGCGGATTCTGAATTTTCTGATTATGTATCCGAGGGAAGCGCTCCAAAAAAGACTAAAATTAAAAAAAAAGTATAAACAAAAATTTCGAACGGAATGGACAAAATATCCTGCTTTTAAACATTGGCTTGTTGTACCAAAAAAACATCATGCACAGTTTGCTGCAAAAAAATTCGTGTTCGAAAACTGCGGTTCAAAGACACAGTGAGTCAGAGTCACTCAGAGACTTGAAGAACGAAGTATGAACAATAAAATTGAAGATGATCAGCGATTTCAGTGAAAACTACTGCCAAAAACTTTCATTAGGTCAATGGATATAACTTATAAGTATAACAAACAGTGTAATAACTAATTACTGTTTGGAGTGTGTTTTTCAACTCAAAATTCCTTAAAAATTCTATTTCCTTAAAGTCTCCTTAAAAAGGTCAAAATTTCCTCAGTTTAAGGAAATTTCCTTAAAAATGAGAGCCCTGCTTGTCAATCACTTTATTTGAATCAGTTATCAACCATATCAGAGCTCTGCGTCCAAATATTGGACGCATGCACGTAAATATCATAGGGATCCTTGCAGGCTCTCTTTCACCAAGAGAGCTTGCTCGCAGGCTAACGAAAAGTAAGTTTTAGGCTTTATCCTTTGTCCTTGTTTAACAAAATCGATTTAAATTGTTACGTTTTTCCACCACTAAGTAATGATAAATTATTGTTAATAATATTTTTATTTTTTGGATGCTCAGAATGCAGGAAATGGCATTTCCTGGTTTCAAATTTCAAAAATTTTCTGAGGATTATACCTCCAAAAAGTAATGATAAATTACGGTTAATATTCTTTTTTTACTTTTTGTGCATTTTTTCCTTCTTTTATTTCAAATACAAGTATAGTTAGTATAAATTTTAGGGCAAATTTGGATGCTCAGAATGCAGGAAATGGCATTTCCGTGCTTCAAATTTCAAAAATTTTCTGGGCAGTACACCCCCACACACGTGACCATTGCTATCCTCCTCTAATAAGTAATGATAAATTATGGTTAATTTTTTTTTTACTTTTTGTGCGTTTTTTCCTTTATTTATTTCAAATACAAGTATAGTTAGGATAAATTTTGGAGCAAATTTGGATGCTCAGAATGCAGGAAATGACATTTCCGGGATTCAAATTTCAAAAATTTTCTGGGGGAGTACACACCCAGACCCCCCCCCATTCATGCGTGGTATATTGGCCATACACGTGGCCTTCAGCCATTGCTATCCCCCTCTTAATATATTATCTCACTGAAAAGTCCCTTTTCAAAAAATGCCCCCCCCCCCCACGGGAAAATCCTTAAAAAATTAAGGCCCTGAATTCGCTGGGTCCAAATTTTGGGGTTTTCGAGTCGTTACACAAAGAAAAACACACTAATTCAACACGCAAGAAAGGCCAGAGTGCGACACAATGTAAAATCCATAGGAAACCGGCACAATTCTTTGAAAATTCAACGAAACTGTGTGAAATATATATTAGATCGCTCAGTGAAAAGCCGCCATTTTGAAACTGAACTGATTATGTCACTGGAGCACGTTGCACCCTGAGTCTGCGATGACCTAACGCAAACTCCATTTCTCGTCGAAAACAGAAAAAGAAGGATTTAAGACACTTGGTCTACAGGCCAGTGTCAGAGGGCCAGTGTAATAACTGGAAGGCTAACTCCTATGATGAAGGCCTATGATTCGTTGAAGCCGGCGGGCGTTTGGCGCGCGGGAAAATCAGCTCGGTGACGTCACGGGAAAAAAAGGCGTGCACAGAGGACTAGGGGCTAGTCTGCTGGAAAATCAGCTTTCAAAAGACTAATGAGAGTTTCGGGGAGTGAAAAAAACAGTGTTTCCACCATCCTCGTCCCCAGGCCCAAGCTCGGGCGGCCCATTTAAATTTCTTTGTTTTACCAAATAATTTCCTTGAAATTTCCTTAAATAACCAACAGCTGAACAGAGGGGACTTCCGTCTACGCATGCGCGAGAAACGTAAGCGTGAGCGCGGGTTAATCGAGTGCACGTGAGCGCGGGTTAATCGCGTGACTGAATTCTAAAAACAAACACCAAATTTGCCAAAACTATTCGTGTTATGAAGTTGTTTTCTTGTTTCTTTAGTGTTTATAAGTCACAATTTTAGGCATTTCCGACTTAGCGATAGAAGTGTTTGCTTTGGAATAAGAACGTGAAAGTAGAAACAAAAGCTTTGTTGCAGCAGTCTAATTTCGCCGTACGAATATATATACCTGTTTTAGGGACCGGTCATAAAGTATGTGTACTGGGGGGGGGGGG